CCCACCATCATGGCAATCATGGAGGCACAGGTGAGATGCACAGTACTTCCTTCTAAGCATCTGTGCAATAACACTGAGCACAGCTCCATCACTGGACATCTAGCATGAGTTAGAAAGACTCTTTTTTGGTGTTTGGCCACTGAGGTTTTGGTTTGATTATGACTTGAAGCATAATGTAATGAATTCTGATTGACATATAAACTTAATCATTCATTTTAGATTATTTATTTTCAAACCCTTAATGTGATCTTGGTGATGGCCTGGGCGCTGAGTAATTTAATAATAATAAACCTTCATAAAGAGAAAAAAAAAAAATCAACAACAATTTTTTAACAGAAGAATATTTTTTAGAGAAATGAAAAAAAAGTCCTCTTATAGCTAAAGTCCTCTTATAGCTAAGGGTGGGCAATCAGTTTAAGATAGTCCAAATAAACTCTTCCAGGAGACTAAACGTTCAGTAAGTGAATCATAAGTGTAGACTTTCAAGATAGAAACAGTAGGCACTAACACATCCATGACCACACTGGTGACCTGAAGAAGTGGCCCGTTGCCCTCTTCTACCAAATTCTTCAAGAGCAGCCTTAGAGTCTAATATTTCTGAAATTTAATTCTTCAAGTTTTTCATTCTATTCTGTGATCCAGTTACAATCTGCCTGTAATAGTCTCATCAACTAGATGGCTTATAATCAAGCATTAACCATCACTAAGAAGGACTCCGGAGTCCTGGTGTGGCGCTGTGGGTTAATGTGCCAGGCTGCAAAGCCGTTTGAACTGCAAGGTCGGGGGCTCAAGCTCACCAGCTGCTCCTTGGAAACCCTATACAAGGTTGCTATGGGTCGGAATCGACTCGATGGCACTTAACAACAACAAGAAGGACTCCAGGTGTGGCACGGCAGGTTAAGTTCTTGATTGCTAACCACAAGGTTGGCGGTTCAAACCACCTGCTCCTTAGGTTAATTTGAACTCCTAGTGTCCCTGAACAGGGTTTCCAAGGCTGTGGTTCAAATCAATTGCAAGCTCAGTTTGAACCACAAGGCTGGTGGTTCAAACTTACCAGCCACTCCTTGGAAACCCTACACAGGATGGCTATGAGTTGGAACCAACTCAGTGGCGCTTAACAACAACAATAAGTCTTTCTGGGTACAGAAAGCCTCATCTTTCTCCCACAGAGCAACTGGTTGGTTTGAAGGACCGACCTTGAGGTTAGCAGCCCAGTGCTTATCCCATAGCACCACCAGGGCTCCATACAGTTATATATTGTTGTTGTTAAGTGCCATCAAGTTGGTTCCGACTCTAGCGACCCGACATAGAGTTTCTGAGGCTTTTGAAATCTTCGCAGGAACAGAAAGTCTCATCTTTTTCCCATGGAGTGACTGGCAGGCTTGAGCCTCGGATCTTGTGGTTCACAGTCCAGTGTTTATCATATGGTGTCACCATGCTCCCACATTTATATATACTTCAAACATCTCGAAACTACTATTTATTATTATTAGTCATTATAACCATGACATAAAGGCATAATATACAGATGCATTATATATAAATAAAACTCCTAGACCAAGTTTTATACATATATATAAAACTCTTAGACCAAGTTTATGCCACTTTTTCTAGCACTGAGACACAGCTGAATACAATTGTTGCTGTTGTTAAGTGCCGTCAAGTCGGTTCCAATCCACAGCAACTGTATATGTTTTCCAAGGAGCGGCTGGTGAGCTTGAACCACTGACCTCGTGGTTCAAATGACTTTGCAGACCAGAGCATTAGTCCACAGTGCCACACCAGGACTCCAGTTGAGCAGTTGTTGTTGTTGTTAAGTGCCGTAGAGTCGGTGCCGACCCATAGCGTTCCTGTAACACCTTATAATTAAATAGCATTTTATAGGTTTATAAGTGCTCTTGCAGCCATAATCTAGTTGAGCTTTATGATAACCCTGGGAAATAATAATAATAAAAATCACAGCAAGTTTCTTACTATTTCCTTTTTGTAGATGAGAAAATTGTTGTTGTTAAGTGCTGTAAAACTCCAGTAGTATTAACTGCCTACTCACGTATGAGTTGAAACCAACTCCACAGCACTTAACAACAACAACAACAACTCAAATATGGTAAATTTAAACATTCCGTTCAGATAAAGTGATATTTAAAGAAAATGACATGCAGGAATAAATTGATAAATGTGCTGTACTTAGAAAATGTTCAGGTCACAGTCTTCTTACCAAAAATGCTAACCTTTAGAATATTTTTAGGAAAAATACAGTGCAATTTACTGAGTTTGATCTGAAACAGGGTAAAGGTTTACTCTGAAAAGTGAGGAGGTCCAAGAGATGAATAGAAAACTTCAAAGGTCAGCTCAAGAAGATAAAGCCAAATATTACAACAAAATGTGCAGAGATCTGGAATCAGAAAACCAAAAAGGAAGAACACGCTCAGCATTTCTCAAGCTGGGGGAACTGAAGAAAAAATTCAAGCCTCTACTTTCATTATTGAAAGATTCTCTGGGCAAATTATTGAATGATACAGAAAGCATCAAAAGAAGATGGAAGGAATACACAGAGTCACTGTGCTAAAAAGAAATAGTTCATGTTCAACCGTTTCAAGAGGTAGCATATGATCAAGAGCCAACGATACTGAAGGAGGAAGTCCAAGGTGCGCAGAAAGAATTGGCAAAGAACAAGGCACCAGGAATTGATGGAATAAAAATTGAAATATTTCAAGAAAGTGAGGCAGCACAGGAGGCACTCACTCATCTCTGCCAAGAAATTTGAAAGACAACTATCTGGCTGAATGATTGGAAGAAATGTGTATTTGTGCTCAGATTGCAAGAAATGTGTATTTGTGCCCATTCCAAAGAGAGGTGATCCAACGGAATGCAGAAATCATAGGACAATCTCTTTGATACCCCATGTGAGTAAAGTTTTACTAAAGGTAATACAGAAACGGCTGCAAGCATACATTTACAGAAAATTTCCAAAGGTTCATGACGGATTCAGAAGAGGACATGGAACGAGAGATATCACTGCTGAAGTTCGATGGATCTTGGCTGAAAGCAGAGAATATCAGAAACATGTTTACCTGTGCTTTATTGACTACACAAAGGCTTTCGATCGTGTGGATCATGACAAGCTATGGACAACATTACGAAGTGTGAGTATTCCGGAACACTTAATTGTGCTCATGAAGAATCTGTACCTGGACCAAGAG